TTTATTTTACTTTTTCCTTCCTCTAGTATCCTTAGGATGTCGAGGGGAGGTGCAGGTTTCGGCGTCTGTGATAGATATGCTAATTAGTTATATTGTTCCAGGGCCTTTTTAACCCCATCCAGTCAGGTCTTTCTTGGTCTTCCTCTTGATTTAAAGCCGGATTCGGGGGTGTGGTAAGCTCTTGCTGCTAGTTTTTTCTTGGGCAATCTGGTTAGATGTCCGAACCATTTGACTCTTTGACGCTCTAATAAATTTACTACTGGTAGACGTGCGGTCTCCTCTGGTGACGTTGGTGGTTTTGCAGAAACATCTAATTTCGCGTGCATTGATTTTCCTTTCTCATGCCTTGTTTAGAGATCATGTTTGGCACTGGTATGTTAATGTTGGTATGAAGATTCTATTGATGAGCTGGGGATGTCACTTCAGTTGGGATGTTTTTGTGACAGAGAAGGGGTGCTAGCTGGTAGGTCACTGCATTTGCCTTCACAGTTCTTGTTTCTTTTTCTTTGCCCATACACCCATCTAGGGACAAGATGCTTCCCAAATATTTAAAATTCCTCTACTTGTTGGAGTTGTGTTCCGTCAACAAGGATGTTGAGTTTCCCTGGGTTTTTTCTTGCCTTCATAACTTCTGTTTTTGAAATGAAGATTTTCATGTTTAGGTTTTTACAATCGTCATTAATTAATTTTGTGGTGTGTTTTTTGTGATTCCTCTTCGTCTGTATTTAATGTACTCTGGTCATCAGCAAATGCAAGCTCGCTCAGTTTATTGATGTTGTCATTTGCTGCTTTCGTGATCTTATCCAAGTAAGTGATGAGCGGAGAGAGGACTTACCCTTGTCTCACCCCAGACGTGATGGGGAAACAGTCCAATAGTTCTTCTGTTGACCTTTCGGCACACAGGCTGTTTTTATAAAGTGCCATGATGTTCTTGAGCAATTGTCCTTTAATACCATATTACTCTAAGACTACCCCCCAGGGCGATGCCACTGACTGAAGTGTTTTTATGCCATTCCAAAACAGGGGACGTTCTAATGCACAGTAGAATTGTAAATGGGCTGATCGAACAATGGAATGCTCATAACTATGCCTGAACTACAACAGGGAACTGCGCCTTTTTCTTTCCTAATCCTTACTATCGTCATTTTCCTCTACTTCTTTTGTATGTTTGTCACACTCTTGTGGCCCGCTGTTTCCGGGGTGCCTTGATAGTCAAAGCAGACTTTGTGCTGTAGAAGCTAGAAAGGTGAGCAGAGTAAGTTTGATTCCCTGTTAGGACTTCTCTGTTGACATCCACCCCTTGGCGCTCATGTGACTTTATGCAGTTGCGGGTGCCGTAAAACCGCTACTGAAACCTCTAAGACTTCCCAACGTTGACATTTATTTACCCTGTCGAACGCCTTTTCTTGGTCCACGAAGACGATATTGAGGTCTTGTCATGTCCAATGGCAGTCTCACACAACTGTCCGAATGCAAAAAAACCGACAGTACAACCCTTGCCTTTTATAAAGCCAAACTGGGATTCATTGAGTTGAGTCTCTACAATTGGTCTCATTCTCATTTCCAGTATCTTGGCAAACGTTATATCCACACGGCTGAGAAGGGATATTCCTCTGTAGGCTCTGTGTTGTTTTTGTCGCCCAGGCCAGGTTAAATATCCTCCTTAGCCAGAGTTCTCCGATATGGCCGTATAGTTTGATCTCTTCTGCTGTGATGTTTTCAACGCCTATCGCTTTGTTTGTGGGGCTATTCTATATAACGTGTTGGGTTTCACTCTGCAGTAGTGATGGTTCTAGAGTGGTTTCTTTCGGTGAGAAGCTGTTTGTTGTTGTTTCTGCTGTAGGATTCAGCAGCTCCTGGAAATAGCGTTTATATCTTTCCTTAATCTTTGGCTTTCTGAAAATAGGGTTTTCCGTGCTCATCATTGACTATTTCAGTTTGGTTGAATGGTTCTTCCCGCATCCTCGTACTTTTTA